ATCACCAGCGGCGGCCCCGTCTCCAGAAGCTCCTTGGTGTGATCGGGGTCTTTTCTCGTCTCTGGAGTCATGGTGCGAGGTCGAAATTAAGGTGTTGGGGGGGGTGGGGGAGAAGAGAAGGCTGGCTTTTGAGAAGGCGTTGTAGGTGGTGAACAAGGGAGAATGAGTGGAAATTCAGGGCTTTCGGGGCTGGTTTGGTTTGTTCTTTTCAATGCATGCTGAACAGCTCATGAGGTTTTGTGGCTGTTTTGACATGCTTCGCCTGTTGCAAACAACTCAAGCCGCTCTTGGTGCCTTCTTTGCGGGTCCATCATGCTTCAGAAATCGTAGCGTGTAAATAACGCGCCCAAGAGTGCAGTCCATGCCCCAAGCTGAAAGGGTCTACTCTTAGGGTCTACTCGTCTTGGTCCTCCCACCGCGCAAACTCGCCGCCGTCCAGAGCCAAGGAGCTCCGGTGAAGTCCGCCTGACTGCACTGCGATCGGCACATGCTGTTGCTCTGCCCCATGGCGACCACACACAGCGCGAGCGCCGCGCGGTGCGACCACGGCGTGGCCGTGGTGGTGCGAGTGGCCGGACGCAACCGTCCAAGGGCTGAGAACAAGGAGTGTTAGAAGACACTTTGACAGGGTGTGGTTTCAATTGCTTTCCTTATAGTTCATGGATGTTCATGATGGCTTTGTGTGCTTTTCTTTTTTTTTGCGGAGTTCTTGTTGCGGTTTTGATCTCAAGTGAGGACATGCTCCGCGTTCGAAATTTGTGCTCTCACAGGTTTGTCCTTTATGAAAGAACCTCGTGTCCGATCAGATGCTGTTTGCTGGGAAGGTGAGTGTTGGTCTACAGCTGGATTTGGGACATCTTTGAATCCACGTCCTTACCAATGAATCATAATGAATCCAACAGGCTCAAGGTCAACGTGATTGATGGAGTTCGGCCGGTATAATTAGAGCTAGAAATGCTGCAGTCACAAGCGAGAAAGCTGATTGTTCTTCATCATCCGTTCCTTCGACGACATACCACTTGACCAAAATAGGACGGTTCACAAGAAAAGAATACTTGCTATGTGGACCATGGAAACCTTTCTCAATAAAATCACAAACGGTCTGCAAGGGTCTTTCTTCTATGTCTCCAGCCGGCTTTGACATCCTAGCACCGAAGAGGTCGGCAAAAATTCCAAAGAAATGGGTTGGCAAGTGGGCGCTTAATGGGTCTTCCTAGCATTTTGTCTAAACATAATAACCTGGAACATGGTCAAACTCCACAAAACTCCTTTTCTCCTTTTCGTCATGTCTAAACACAGGAAGGCATCGTGAACATCGCCCCCTTGTGTGCGGCGGTCTTGGTTCTTGTTCTTGGGGGATGACAGTCAGTGTTGGCACCCGGAACTTTGACAGTTGACACCCTGAGCTAATTGGTTTGTGGAAGCCAAACGCGGCTTCCAGGTCCTCCGGACCCCAATTTCATGGAGAACGTTGACCCAAGAAATCACACTCGTTCAAGACTCAAAGAAGTCACACGTGTTCATCCGAAGTTCCCATCCTGATCCTTTCGATGGACCTTCCAACGCGTTCCAACCGGGGCTCCTTGGGACACGGCCGCAGCTTCTCGGGCAAGATCCGATGCCTCGGATGTCTCGAGATGACTCCGCCGTAGGATTCTGCAGATTCCTTTGGATTCCAAAAGACATCAAAAGACGTGAACATCTTCCCTTCCCTTGCAGAACACTACGATCGGCGCGTGAAAGCGACTCACGTGAACGCGGCGCTGCCACAAATCTTTTCAGTGTGTTTCGGCGCGAAGGCGCCGTGTTGGTTCGGCCGAATGGCCGTGGCTGAATTTGGAAAACGCCTTTTATCAGTCCCAGGATATTTCCTACATCTTCCAACCCTCCTGTCTGCCCGTCCCATTCGCACACACCGAGCTGCGTCACACCTCTCTCGCCCTCCAAGCGCACGTGCCATCGGGCCGGTGTCAACGACTCGTCCTCGCCACCGGTGTCGGACGTCAGGTCGGGTGGAGGTCCCACGTGCAGGACGCAGGACTCCACAGACACAAGAAGCTTCTAGTAGTGTCCTTGTTCCTAGTAAGGCCAGGAGCCCCGTGTGTAGCGTCCTTGTTACTACTAGTAAGGCACTTGTTACTAGAAGCGATGCACTTGTTCCTAGTAGCTTCTAGTAGCTAGTAGTACGGCCAGGAGCCCCGTGCGTAGCGTCCGATCGCTCCGTTCGTAGCGATGCCAGGAGCCCCACACGTAGCGAACCTTGTTACTAGTGGAAGACGTGGACACCCCGAGCCTTTTGGCCACGGCGTCCGACCGACCGCCAGATCTCCCCGGACGGCCGTCCCGTCCCTTTCACAGTTTTGGCTTTTGAGAGAAGAATATGTTCTACAAGGGCTAAGTTGGAGAAGGTCAAAGCATTGATGAGATGGCCAAAAGTCCCAGCAATCGATAGAAAGCAAACATCATCTGCTCACAACCCCATGCACTGCAAAAAAGAAGGCGCAACAGAAAACACTAAAGAACACTAGTTACATCACTAAAATGGTCACATCTGCCTTAAACCCAATGAATTGTAGAAAAAGAAGGTGCGACAAAAACACTACATCGGTAACAAGAGAGGCAACCTTTTGCATCACCCGTCGGTCCAGGTACTCCAGCTTTCCCTTGAGGCCGTTGAAGTCATCTGCGGCCAAGTGCTGCAGAATCACGCGCTGGCCCGGCCGCAGCCGCTGCAGGTCCTCGGGGGAAGGACGCTCTTCATAAGGTGTGCTGAGCCGAACACCTTTTCCCTAGAAGTCCAAGACTGAAGTAAAGGAATGTAAAGGATATTGCTCTTCGGGTCAATTGAAGACCACTCTTTTTATAAAGTCTTTGACTCCCAGGATTTTGAAGACATGAGGATTTTTTGAGGTTGATCCGAATAGAAGTTCTACAGCACGACACAGTTCTTGGCGTCTCCAGCTTGTGATAAACCTGATGTGACGTCCATTAGTGGACATGTCATGAGGATCCTTTCTGAGCCGTGGAAGACCCCCCCAAAGAGGAGCACTTCTTCGAGGCCGCCCTGAAACAGGTGGGTGCGACCTGAACAGGGGTTTGGGAGGAACTCCGAATTTGGGTTCCTTGGCTTTGCATCATGAACGAAGGGAAGATCCGATGGCAAAGGCATCGTCTTGGCTCATAAACCTGTGGGTGAAAACTATAGCGTGTAAACACAACTCACACAAACTCACTGCCACACCGAGGGTGTGTGTAAGGTGCAACAAACGCCGTCGCTTGCGCGGGGACCCCCAATGAAACCACAGGGAACCCTCCCAGCTCCAAACCACCCTGTTTGGACCATCTTCGTGCGTTGCGCGGTTGATGCCCTGCCGCCGCGATCGACGAAAAATGCATCAAGGCGCAGAGATCTTTGCTCCAGCCATTGCACTCCATGGCGCAACTCGATCCAAACCACGAAGTAGCTCGCATCATCGATGCAACGGTATCCGTGCTTTTCTTGGATGGTATCCATTCAGTTCTGGTATCATTCATTTGATGACTTCGCCACATCATGACCAAATCATATCCGTCAAATAGTCTTTCAGCCGTTGGTCATATGATGATAGATCCATAGCACATCCAATACATCCAGTAGTGAGGAAGAACTCTCTGAAGGAGCTACACTCATCTTCTTGTTCTCCCTGGGAGATTCATGTCCGATCCTCTCGAAGTGCCTTTTCGTCCTCTCAAACCCGGACGTCGGTTCCTTCGGTTCGCCGAGCGATGGGTGGAGGTGGGTGGGTGAAAACGGAACCCGTTCAGGCGGTCCGCTCGGCTAGGTGTTGGGCACCCAACGTCTTTTCATAAAGGACCGACTGGATTTCCTTTCATAGAGGCACCTCAACCGAAATTTCTTTTCATTCCAAGGCACCTCCTTTTTGGGTAAGACGAACCGCACATGCAAATTCCGACTGGACCTTTTTTCAAAGGGTGCTTCCTTCCTTTGGACGCGTTTCACAGGAGGCCTTGTTTGGTTTGCGCAAGACACAAAAACAACTGGTCACCAGTCAGTGCTGGCGCGGTTGAACGATACACATGGGGCAAAAATATACAATTTCCCCTTTGCTGTTGTTGCGTTGCTGGACTGGGCCAACCTGGGAAAGGCGGCTTGCACCCACCAATCCAAGCGCGTGATTCAGAAGACACGAGTGCCGACACTTGGCGTTTTCTGCTGTTTTCTGGGCAACATTCGCATGGTTTCCCTCGGTTCAAGCAGCGAACTTGGAAGAACTAACCCCTTGGACTTGAAGCACCCTTTTTTCCCCGCACATCGATGGCAAACCACTACAAACACTCATTTTGATGAACATGTCAGTCATGTTCATGCCATGACTTGAAGAACTACCCATCTTGATGACCACTTTGATTCTGGTTTTGGGAGTCTTCAAGGAACCCAGCCGTCCCGTTTTCTCTGATTCCTCCAAGGATGAACGGATCCTCTCAGATCCTGTGTTCGGATCCTGTCATTGCTTGGGGATCTTCAACCCCTAACATCTTCCAATTGCAACGATCCAGCAATCTGGTGACCCTCCAAACAAATGTCCGAACTGGCTGGAGTCTGGAGTTTTGTTTCGAGCGTCTTCGCCGGATTGTTTCACCCTCATCATCCCCTCCCCCCCGTAGCATCGAGTGACTCATTTAGCCCTTGGACCCGGGGTTCTTCACGCCTCCCAGACAACAGCCCTTGGACGAAAAGAGTCAGTTGCTCTGGACAACACGAAACCCTCATGCATCCTCAGAGCATCCTGAGAAGAGTTCACGCTTCCGCACGCTTCCAAACTCGCCCATTGGTTCATCTTCATCCTGAGTCTGTCTCAAAATCCACCCCTGACACACCCGACAGCCAACACCCCCTCCCAACTCGCTCGCTACCGATCTGCCGGGCCCACCTTTTCGACCAACCATTTCCTGTGGCTCTTCGACCCTCCACTCCGCCCCGTCGCCGAACGGCTCCGCACCTGCCGTCAGGGAGTAGCCCTCCCGGTCGTGCAGCACTCGGTCCGTGGGTTTGCGACCGATCCTCGGGTGGACACGAGCCGTGCCCGCGTTTCGGTCTGGACGTCCATTTCCAGGGTAGAAGAAAGATCAAAGAGACTATAGTAGACTAATAGTAGATAATGTTTTTTTTAATCGTTTTGTGGAATTTTGTGTTTCTTCTGATCCTTCTTCTACTTCTTCTCCTTCTTGGTCTTCCTCTTCAACCACCTTTAACGTTATGGGTGGTCACTGTGTAGCGGGTGCAGCTTTGGGGTACTGACTTCCGCCCTGTCCTGCACTGAAAGCCCTCACAGTCACCTACCACACTACACTGCGGGCCTGCCAGCACCAAGCGCAAACTATGGGCAGCATGTTGTTGGCCGGTAAGGACTCATGAAGCCATAGTCGAACAATGCACATACTTTTTGTCAAAGGTTTCCTCACCTGTGTACAGTGAATCTTGCCCAAAAGGCTTTTGTCATCCAAATGGGAAACGTTAGGCGTTCTGCACTGGTTTCACCTTCACAATCTTGTCAATGATGCCATCTGCTGATTGCAGATTGACGACCAGCCTTTTGGTACTGTGCTCCGAGCTGATCATCTGGCAATATGCAATATCTGTCCTGCCAAACATTGTCTCTGAGTACCTGCTATGCACTAGGCACACTCTGTTCACACTCTGTTCACACTCTGTTCGCAGGTGTTGACCTTCAACTTCAAGGCCTTGACCTGCTTCATTACGGAGCCCGAAAAAAGAGTCTCACAAATGGATGGAGCCTCGCATGGAGTGAGCATACGGGTTGACTCGACCTTAACTATGCCGCATGCCCAGTGCCTTCCATCACCAGGTCACCGGGGTTGTAGTTACACACTACATCCTTTTGAGAGCATGGTGAAATACACCTGGGCACCCCTATGACCGAACAAACATGTCATGTGTTGTTGAGCAACTCTCGACCTGGAAGCATTTTTCACCCAGCAACACGAGAAAAAGACTCAACACCGATGATGGATGACGCTGCATGGATGACGCCGTTCTCACCCGTTCTCACCCCAAAGCGGTCGAACGGCCACTCGGTCGACCTTCACCCGACGCCGAGGCGCTCGGCCACCAGCAGCTCGGTCATCATGCGATGCCCCGAGCCTGGAGCCGACAGCAGGGCGAAGGGGTTAGGTGCGGTCGGGCAGCGGGGTGGATGCACATGGGAAAGGTGACGACTCAGATGATGGGACGAACATGGACATAAGATGACATAAGGAACAAGCTTTGTGCTGTGGGCAGTTGGAGCAGATACCCAAGAGACGTTACGGAGACCAAGAAGCCACAAAGGGATTCGGAGCAAACGTCGCGCGGGAAGACCCCCAAAGGCAAACATGCTCGTGGCTGGCTCTACAAATATTGTGCTGGCATGGGTGTAAAGAGCTGCACCGCGTCGCAAAGAAAACATCATTTGCTTGGGAAGGAAGGTGGATGGGTGGCAAAGCCCAGCGCGGTGTGGCGAACGGAACCTGTGAACATGTGAGCTTGTTTCTCCGCGATGCCCTGCGAGATCCTTGAAGCTTGATTTGATGCCCACCAAGGGAGAAAGCCCGCAAGCAGTCACCAAACAGTTGACCATTCATTCAACCACAACGGAAGAAGGCTGCAGGTTTCTTGATGGCTTGACCTCCTCTGTTTTGGATGCACCCTGCAGTCTCCGCTGACCCCATGGACCCCTCCCCAACTGCTCGCCGCCCCGAAGCATCGCTCGCCGCCCGCGCGGCTCGAGGCGCCGCGGGCTGAGCCCCAGCGCCTGCATACAGCAAGCCCAAGGCCAACACTGCGCTGCATTGTACTGGGCTGGACACCTGGGCCACCGTCGCTCGAATTTGGTGAGACGTGTCCGGTGGGCCTTGCTTAAGAAGGAACCAAGAAACCTGGTGGTGATTTCGGATCCTTACTGTAGGTCTTTGGGTCAGAATCAACCAGCGAAGCAGCCTGCAATGTGTTGGACCTCTTTCGAATGGGAAATACATCGTGCATGTCTAGCCATGAAATACCACGTGAAATCACTGGACACGGCTGCGGGTGACGGTATGTGCGCGCCCAAAAATCCAAACAAGTTGAGCTACCTGGAACCCAATTGAATCATTTGACTTCTGTTTTGATGGGAAAAGACCATATTTTGGGTGGTTGGTGGCGCAAAATAGAGGTCACTCAGGCTCTATAGGTATATTATTTACGGGGGACGATCAGGCGACTTATGCGACTGGACCTCGTGGCTTCCATGCTTTACAGCTGAAGTTGTGTTGTGAAGTCATTCGCTTCAGTAGATTTTGGCGATCGAAGTGTTTCTTTTTTCATGTTCCTCTTCCAAACCGAAACTGCAACATATACTCATTTACCCTTAAGCAAGTTCTAGGAGACCCGGTGGACATACAACTCAAAGAGAGCTATTGCTGCCTAGCTTCAACTGCAGCTTTAATAAAGCCCAGTTGTTACCGTGAACAAAACGATCGAAGTGGCCTGAATGGATAGGACATAGCTTTGACATAGCCTTCAAAGTCACGATAGATAGCGGCAGAAGTTCCATGAAAAACACACAATCCCTGAAATAATCGGAGTGGAAATCACCACCTGTTTCGTTTTCAGAAAATGGTCATCTTTTTGAGGCCATGACATCCACATAACCGTGATGATTTCAAGGTGTGTAGATCACAAAGATCTGTAAAACAGTCGATTGACTTTCCTAGCTGCAAGTTGTGTGGCTGCCATGTTGCGTTTCAAATGTTTCAACCGATCACACTTAGCTTGAAAGCAAGAAGAGACACACACACACACACAGCCTCTCTCTCTCTCTCTCCCCCTTCCTGGCAGGTTCTGCGGCGTTTTGTCCGTCAATTCTGCGCTTTTGAGGCGTTTGGGGATCTCTGACTGCACATGTTAGTCACTGGTCGTGCCATCCCTGAGTCACCCACCTTCCACCCGCCCCTTCCAGTCGTGCCATCCGTCGAAGTCCACCGATCACCCACCCTGCGTTCGGTGACGGCCTCGACGTCCGAGAAGGTGGCAGGCAACATCGAAGGGATGTGCACGCAGCACCTGAGGATCAGATCCCAGCCCAGCAGACTTGACCAGGAAACTTTTGTATACATCCAAAGAAGTCAGGTCTTTCTTCATGGACCCCAAAATCAGAGCCACTCCCTCTGCCAAATCAGAGGGCCACGAGGCCCGAAAGGACTTGTTGTTCGGGTCCAAGAACACCAACTCGCGACGTTTGGAGCTGAACCCGGTGGTCCACCCGACGAGCCCGTGGATGCGGAGTCCCCGTCCCTGCACGACGGCTGACCTGGACGCGGAGGATGACACGTGCTCGGTCTCGATCCGGTTGATCAGTCGCCTGGTCGCGTCCTTGCCCGCGTGACCTGGTGACCGTCACCGATGAAAATCCTGTAAGAGGCAAGTGACAATCTCCTACCCCATTAGACATCCAGACCGAAATCATTAGACAACACATCCGGAGGTGACTGTGTCGGGTGACGGACATTAGACAAAGGTGTGCTGGAGACCGGAGGTGCTCCAGTACTGTGACAAATGAAATCCTTAGACATCCATGGGGGACAAAGACATTGTCGTTTCCCTGTAGGCTTCATGGATGTTCATGGTTGAAAAGGGGCAGGTTTTCTTTTTCACCCGTTTTTGGTGAGCAATGCTGAGCCATGACCAAATGGTGGAGCAATTTTCCGATCGCAAAAAAACATACTGAAAGCTATGGCAGTAGTCTCTCGACTAACCTTCTTGCGGGTTGAATTTACCTCTAATCCAAGGACAGGCCAAGTGCACGAAGATCAAGTCAGTCGAAATGAGAATCTAATATCATCCAGGTCGATACATGCTGGACGACACATCTTGCGAACCTGCAATATCCGGAGGGCCGACCACGTAACTGTTCATTTGGTTGTTCAAACTACCTCTATGACATTCGACAAACACCGTCCGGTCAACTGTGTCATCAATAGGATTGAATCGCCTTTGCTCCACCACCTTCTCCAAACAAAAACACATGTCCTGAACCAATGAGTGACTGGACTGCTCATTGAGTACCTTGGTCTCCAAAGACTCACCCTGCTTGGCACCGAATCTCCCGCGGTTCAGACCCGGGTCTCGGCGGCCCGGACGTCCGCGTGAGCCCTGAGTCCATGCTGGAGACGTGCGACGCCGCCAGGCCCAGGATCACCGCCGCGCTCCTCGGTCGGAGAGACCGAGTGTGCTGGGGAGGGGCGAGGCAACCTCTGAAGCTATACTAGGTGGATGTGGCGGAGGTCCATGGTGTAAACAAGCAGATTGGTTCGACTTCTTTTTGTCAACGCATCTCATCTTTTGATCCAATTTGGGGCATTTTCACTGCAGAAGATGGGGTGTCCTTGCCTGATGTCCTCAGGCAAACCGGGCCCGGTGTGGTCCAGCCGCGGTCCAGACCGAACTGTCCGGGAGACGGTCCAGGCGGAAAGGCCGGTTCAGCAGCTGGGTCGAATCAGCCTGCCTTCTACGTCGGTTTTCGACTTGGGGAAGAAAACCCCAGACGCTCCAAACAGGCCTTGGTCCCTCAAAACCATAGGGATTGGTGAGAAGGTCCGGACCCCTGATCCGAGGATTCGGGTACGGCCCCGGTCCCGGTCCACGCAGGGTCCAGACTTCGCGTCTGGCCGGACAGTTTGGGACGTGCTTGTTTGGTGGATCTTTCGGTGGATGGGAGTAGTTTTGGGAAGAGAAAGCCATGCAGCAACTCGACACAGCAAAGATGCTTTCACGGAGAAGAGTCAGACAACTTTAAATGGGAAGAGCTGTCTGTACAATCAGTGACTGCAAAGGTTCCCCATCGCTGTCCACAATGTGCTTGACTCACACCCCTAGAACGTTACATTAAGAAACATTTGGTAGGTAGCAGTGTCAAGAATAAGATATCTTCTGGCCGAAAGTTCCGCAGGAAATGCTCACAGCATACCATAGTACTATACGAACAACACTTCTGTGACTCATTGTTGATTTCCGTTGCGTGTGCAGTCCGAGAATCGCTCTGGAAATCTTGAAGGTCTTTGCAGACGATAATGTAGACTGTTGATGGATAACCCCCCGGTGGATTGCAAAACCTCTTTAGTCGTATTACGAACCAACGACGTCTACATGATGGAAACATCTGCACCCACGTCCCAGCCTGGCGCTCAAAATCCACCCTCCAGCAAAACCCTCGAACGAAGCAAGGCACGTGGTCTCGTGCTGCAAGCGCAAATACTTATAGCCTTGGCGAGCCGAGGCCGAGTAGCCCGGGCCCGGCGGTCTTCGCGGTCTTCGCGTTCTTTTGTTTGGGTTTCTTCTTGTGCATGGTGTCTCGGCCTGCTTCTTGTGGGCACGAAGGACCATGAGGACACATGAGGCATGTTGTGGTCGTCAATTTGGACGTCCCCAAAAACGTCTCGCTTTCGTCGGTGACCGAGGCCATAGGTGTGGACACGACGGACATGACGTGGACGTCTGCAAAAGCTCTTGTGGTCGAGTAGCAGGTGTAATCCTGATTGGGGTGACTGGCTGAAACGATCTCTCTTAACCTATCACATCCTCCAGAGGGCCAAGGCAAAGGAAAAACATGTGCAAGGCCAAACGTGTGGAGAGAATCACAGGATCCTAGGACTGGCCTCCAGTGGTCAACGGATTATTGTTTCCCTCAAAGGCTGGCGGGGGAATTGGTTGAAACCGATAGATAGATCATGCCTTGAAAGTATGTGTTGATTTGAAGGTGCGGGTAGCATTTGGTGCTGCTTGATGCGCACCGTAGACGCCTACATTTGCCTATACCTGGCTCCGTCGCACGGCCTCCCGTCTACGGCCCACGCAATCGGCCACGGGCAGCACCTTGAGTCCACCGCGCCTTGGCGGTGGACGGCGACACTCACAGGGAACGTGGAACGTGGTCTCTCGACAGATGGACAGGGAACAAATGGAACGTGCAATTCAAAGCGAAGCATGTTCAAAAGCTTTTTTGAGTGCCACAGAAACATGGAAGCATAATGAGGTCTTGGTCTTTGTTACCTCCACTGACAAAGGCAAATGTTCAGACTTGGGAATAGTACGTTTAAAGATTTGTTTTAAACACAAACATGTTTCAAAGAGCGTTTGAAAACTTGATCAGACTTGGATTGGTCTTGGGCATCTGGTGGATGCGGAAGATGTGCTTCTCAACAGGTGTTCATGAGGTGATCTCCTTTCCCCCCAAAAATGACATCATGACCTAGATAACCGACATCATCCATCATGATCCTATCTCCTTTGCACCCACCAAATGCCATCAAATGGCCAGAATGGGCCATAGACTTGTGCCACTGTCGGCCAGAATCTTCCCCATTCGCGATCACGCCAAGAAGCAGCCCCAGGCCAAGCAAGAACCCAGCATGTGCATTGCTGGAGACCTGGCTAGTAGCACCCACTCTAGGCATTCTTTGGTATGACAAGGGGTGCAGGACTTTTACGGGAGGGATAGAAGTGGGATGGGTCGTGCTTCCATGCAAAAGGTACTGAGGGTAAAAAACAAGGCGCTGGTCCTTTGCAAGTCTGCCTGGACAGTCGCATGCAAAAACAGAACTGAAACATTGGACCTGTGAAGCAACATCAAACCTTTTTCAACAAAGGCAAAAACACCAGCGAGATCGGCTCGAATTACGCCGGCATAGGGTGCATAGGCCCCAAATAACCTTTTGCACACTAAAATTTGGGAGACAAGATATCGATGGCAGGACAAACGCATGAACAGTGAACAGGGCGACAAACTTGGCAAATGAGCAACCAACGAGCAGGGAGACAAGTTTGGAAGACATGACGGCAACATTTGATGAGTAAGAAACCCTTCTTACTGTGCCATTTGGGGAACAAGAGTCAAGAGGGTCAAACTTTTGGAGACAAGGCAAAACTGACACGCCATCTCTTGTACTTCGTCAGCGGAACTGCAACGTTTTTCCTGGAGAAGAGGTCTCCATAAAGAACGGCAACCAACATCAACTGTCTGACCACCACCACCACCATCATCATAATAATCATCATCATCACTATCATCATACAGGTGTGCGGACGGAGGTGATGCACTTGCTTTTGAAACACCTACATAGACACAGCGTTGAGGAAATGTTTGTTGAGGTACAAGTCTTGGGATACAGTTTTGGAGATACAGGTGTAAATATGCAGGCAGCTGTTGAGACACAGGTGAAAACACTTACAAAACCCACCAGCGCAACTACAGCTTCGACATCGTTGCAATTCTTCTCTTAAAGCAGCGGGGTGGCCCGGCCGACGCTCACGGATCGTACAGTAAGTTTTTCCACTCGAAGCCGGGCGGCGCGTCGTTGTGCTGCATTTTTCCTGCAAACCGGAATGCACGGTGGTGTAAAAAGGTCACAAACGTGATGCACAGCCCACGCTGCAAGCAGAGCAGTGACACGATGTCACATGTGCGCGTGTTCGAAGCAGAAGTAGGAGAGTTTGGATTCTGATGTCCCAACTTCTCGGCAGGCAGCAGCCACCCCCCGGTAACCAAAACAACAACAACAGACCCCAGCCCTATTGTTACAACAACGCAAGCACCCCACACCCGGATCCGTCATACCCAGATCCCGGCCCCGTCGTATCAGTTTTCGTTTACCCAGATCCGTCACTTCGTCTCTAGTTGAGCCCAACAGAACAACAACACCCCCACGCTCTTTTGTTAGAGCAACAATACAACCCCCGGGCTCCGTCATTTAATTTCTTGTTGATCCCAGGCACATCATTTCATTTCTTGTGAAGCCCGGGCCCGTCACCCGGCCCCGCAAATTAAAACAACAACAATACACCCCCGCCCTGTTGCTATAACAATAATTACCAGCCCCCCCAATTCAAAGAGCAACAATACACTTCCCCTTGTTGCTACAACAATTTAATATTGCTCAACCAACTTGTTTTCACTGTGGTGGGCATTGAATGGATGCGCTTGGCAACAGCATCAACCTTGGGAGGTAGAAAGTCACCATGCATTTGCACTGCACAGATATGCACTTTCGCATCAGAAGGTCCTCCTCCGTGTGCATTGGTTGACATGGATTTCAGACCAGATGAGTAACAGCACAGAGTGCATCACCAACCTGGCCTTTCCGCCATGTACATCTTTCTGTTGGCAAGCCTGGGTCAAACGGACAACAGAGAACGTCATCTTCGCGGCCGAATCAGGATACAAGAGCAATCGGTTTGGAAGGGTACAGCTGCTGCGGGACGCCTTTCTCAGGCTCCACCATCAGCAAACGCTGTCCACTGGCCACGTACTCAGAGAGCAGTTGCTCCAAGCAATCAGCAACTTGCTCGTCCATCTCAGCGCAGGGTGAGCCCTTGAACAATGGCTCAACAGGATATCAAACTACAAACAACAACAAAGCGGTTCCGCTCCAGACGAGGAGATAACCCAAGTCCAGTCAGGGGCCTGCCGTCACTAAGGCGACCCTGATACGCGAAAGGTTTACCTTCTTGCTGTATGTGGCACGAGCAAGCGGGCTATGGTGTGACGTCCTATCATTTCTTGTAGAACCCGGGCTCGTCATTTCATTTCTTGTTGATCCCGGGCACATCATGCCTTCTCTTGTAAAGCCCGGGCCCATCATTTCATTTCTTGTGAAACCTGGGCCCGTCACCCCGCCCCGCAAATTAAAACAACAACAATACACCCCCGCCCTGTTGCTATAACAATACCGCCCCCCAATTGAAACAACAACAACCCCCCCGCGCTATCGGGCGGGTACGCAAAGGCGACAGAAACAAAGCACAGTCTCTCATAAAAATCCAAGGCTTCCAAGGACACCAAGGCTTCCAAGTGCCCTTGTGCAGCACGTTCGCTCACCGCAAGAAACCACTATACAAAACAACCAAGCCCGCGTGAAGGTGACCGTATGGACGAGGGTTTCCATCACTTTCCCACCCTCGGAGTACCCTTTTCGCCACAGAGACGAGCCGCCTCGGTACGGAAGAAGACCGGCGTCACGGAGAGGGTCGCCGACGTGACCGGGCGCAAAGGTCTAGCCATGTGAAGCCTCTTTATAAACCCAGAACTTCCAATGACTCATGAACTACTCCACCTGGTAGTCATAATCCACCACTACCAGTTCGGGGTGAAATGAGTGATTTGGACTCTCAGGGAAACATGAATTCCTGCGGTTGAAGAAGACCTCCATCTTCCCAGATATGTCCCTGAGCACAGTCATGTAGGGCTGCTACATAGAAAATTCAGCACTCGAACAAACACCCTTCCTTCGAAGAAACCTTGCCTGGCCATCCGTGGTGGCCTGGCAGTGTGAAACTCGACTGGGAGACCTCAAGTTCTTCAGGAACAGAGTCTGCGCCAGTCTACTCACCAGACTGGGCGATCGGTACCTGCTGCTCCCAAAAAGACACACCCACACATCATGATCGCCCTCCGAATCGGAAACATGAAAAGGGTGAAGAACCCTCCAGATTCCGGGCACCATTCCATGTAGACAGTGGTTTCAGAGTAGATGGCACCTGGCACCCTTTTTCAGTCCTGAACAAATAGGGGTGTACATATGAACCACCCCACCCAACTTGGAGTCTGACCGTGCCATCTACTCCAAACATCTGACGGACTGAACGGCCTGAAGAAAACCATCTGCATCACATCGCTTCCCCAGATCGCTTCCCCGCGCACGGTGCGCTTCACGTCCAAAACGGTACGTTTTCACGAACGGTCTGCGTCCCGCGTTCCGGGTTCGGGGGTTCGGGGAGAAGAACACCCCGACCGAGTTGGCGTGGTCAAAGGACAGGACGCAAGGAGATGTGGTCGCCGTGTTGGACTCAGCGGCGACCAGAAGTCTTTCGAAACGAGTCCGGCCCCTGAGTGCTCTGTCGGCTGACAAACCTTGTGACATGACTCACCTCTGTTGGGCATAGGTCGGGCGTGGACATGCGGTATACTGGAGTATTACTCAATAACATGTTTGGATATATATAGTTGAGTGTCGGATAAACACACCATTGAGACTTCGGTGTGGACCAATTCCTCCTTTGCAGCTACTGACATCCCTTTCCACACCTTTGCTAACCAGCAAGTCACGTCCCTTGCTCCGTCTTCCGGGTGAAGTCCAAGTCCCACGAACTTCGGGTTTCCCATGGATTTATACACACTGCTTGAGTATGTGGCGATCTACGAGTAAGTGGTGTGGATGAAGACTTACACATTGGCCAAAACATGAGGAGATTTGTCCAACTCCATTTCTGTTTGTCTAGTATGCTTTCTTCAGAGAGGTTTCAACACCAATCGTCAGGTTTTGCACCCGAACCATCAAACTATCTGCCTTCTGCCTTCATGGTATTTATACCTTCATTGCGCATGTGAGCCAGCGTGATCTTCTGTTGTTGGCCGTCTTCCAGCCTGTTCTCCCATGTTCTGAGCAGTGAAGAGTGTCCTTGCAACATATCACCAGATTGCCAACAGAGGTTGAAGGACCTTATAGGACCCTACTGGGGGACCCATAGGATGGCCTATAGGGTTCTTCAACCTCTGTTGGTGTCCCAATTTCCCTCACACGGAACGGCTGGGAAAGACGGCCGGGAAGGGTTCGGGGATCGAAACACGAGACGAAGCACATCCCTCTTCTTGAGTTGGGCTTCAACACGAGACTCACGGGTTTTTTCGGATGCATGAAAGAGCTCTCCAACGGTTCACGGACCAATAGCACGTCCCGGCGCCAATAGCACGTCCCGGCCATGGGTCCCGCTCCCGTTCGCATCGTTGGCGCTGAACACCAAACGAACCCGGTCGCCTCGCCCACGGTCTTCCACAACGGGTTCCGTTGGACGACCGGACGACCCCGCCCCAAATCAACACCGAGCAGCTGGTGTAGAGGCTGACCTGCGGTGTCGGTGTCGAACCGAAGAACGTCGTCGCCTGCGGTTTCGGTGGGGGATTTGGACACAACTATAACAAGCCCCACGGGTCAATGAGCTGTACTGCAGTTGGTCATGCCAAAACCATCACTCAAGGACCTGAAGGATGTAAAAGAACAGGTCGTATACCGGGTCTTTGGACTATTTAAGGGAACTCATCTTCAAATCGTTGCAACCGGAAAGCTCGAGATCTCGGGCCGCAGGTCCGGCCCAGGTCCGGTCGTCATGCCGTGCTGAAGAACCCCGCCGTGGCACAGCCAGGCTCCTCCGGCTCCCGCTCCCTTCCCAATTGCAGCTTGTGTTATGACCAGACCTGGATTTTCCACAGTTCGAAGTCGGTGGACAAAGCAACACAAACAGAAATGCATCGCCCCGAAACGCGCTACCAGAGAATGAGAGAGAATGAATATTCAATGAGTTTCAGTTTACAATTCTCTCTCACCAAACTTTATTCTGGGGGTTGTTCCTTCATTCCCTAAGCTGGGATCTAATTAAAATATATATATATATTACTAATTATAATTCTTGCCACGAGACTGAACTTGATGGAATTCGGAGATCGTACGTTTGAGGTGTCGCATCACCACCTCCACCGAAAACGCCTTCTTCTGGGGCCCTTGAAGGTCGGCTCTCCGTGCCACTTTGATCCACAGCACACACCATTCACGGCCGCTCTTCGGCCAGATGCATCTGCATAAAGCTTTGCTGCTTCTCTCTGCTTCAACACAGACGCGCACACACACAGCCATGGCCGCGACAGCTATGCCGAGTTTTTACTGGTTTCTTCTCAGAATGGCAAGAGACCCTCCCTTAAAGAATCACGAAAGTGGAACATGGCCCTTAAAGAATTCTTCTTCCTTTACACACAGGGCTTGTTCAGCAATGCTTGTCCAATGACGGGTCTTCTGTTCAGCTTCAATGCTCGGCCTACATACAGCGTTCTGTTCGTGCGACCTACATCTACTGGGACCTTCTCATCTCGAATGCGCGAAAGGGGTCCCGACACTTTCAACCGATTCCAGCCGATGGCGGTCCCACTTGCTGCGATATTGCCCTGGCTCAAAGGAAACATGCATGGCTGCATGGCGGTCCCACGGAGGTTCTTTTATTCCCACTGGAATGCGACTGTTCCAAGAGAACGCTCTCTTTCAACCCAAATCTTGCTTACATGTTTCCCTTTTCTTTCAATAAGGGAAGACAAGGAGGTGGCAAAGGGGTCTCCATGCCAGGCTGCTGCCACATCCACATGGGCAACAGGCCGTTGCCATGTCCGTGCGTCCGGCTTGGCCGGCTTGGCAGGCGCCGACGATGCCGAAAACGGCTGTTGAGTCGGCGGTGGGGGGAAGTGACGTTTTCGATATGTTGTTGTTGGTTTTGCAGACAGGGAAGAACAAACTAACACTTGTCAAACAGCTACGTTGGTTTGCGACCAATTCGCAAAGAAAAGGGTTGGTTGGCAGTCATTGTTGGTTGTTGGTGGGGTGTTTGGAACGGTCTTGAGCCGGAGACTTCCGGATCGAATCATATGAGATGTCTTTTGGCATGGTTTTCAATCCTTCAGTTCAAAAGAAGCTGACAAGCTGAATATTATACAATTAAGTGTACATCATCGTTCATCTATTTTCACTGGGCTGATTCTCTTCCGTTTTCTTCCACCCTTCTCCTTCTGAAGAAGCAGGGTCCACATCGTTTAAGTTCTCCCCACCTGCTCCGGCATCACCACCTGCTCTGCTGAACCAGCTTCACTCTTGTGAGCTGCGATGTCCTCCACCTCTTCCTCTCTTTGGAGAGCACGAGGCACCTGCAGCCAGTACTGAGGATCTCTCAGTTGACCTAAACACAGCAAGACGTAGCCCGCGGTTGTGATCCCAAAGTCACCTCGTTCGCTGCCGCTATGCGAACGACCACGGCGTTTTCGGTGGAAGCTGTGTGAGAGATATGACTGGAATTGACCCCTTGATCCAGTTGACCTCCGATCATGGGGCTGCCTTGAACTATGAGTCAGTGAGATCTGAACCTCTGTGCGGAGCACATCTACGACGTTCTTCTGACTCTTTGCAACCGTAATCGAACATGATTGTTGAAGCAGCCGACCTTCAAGCGAAATGATGACCCTCCAACCATCATGCATATTTTTGGAGCAAGTCAATTGGACAGTTCATCGTGCATGGTTCTCGGTCATCCGACATAGTCCCATCTTCCACGAATATTCGGACGAGTGGCTGATATCATGAACTCCCACAGCACCATGAACTCACACCTCTTAGTCATTAAACAACTTCACCTGTATAGTCCCTCTATGTTTCATCTTCGATGACGAGTGGCAGATGTCATGAAGCCCCACAGCACCACCACTCATGGGGCAGTCCTCATAGCACACCCGATGACCTTCCGGCCCGCAGGTGGGCTCCAGCAGCGCAAAGACCACTCGACCGAGGAGGATCACGAGAGCGCCCAAACAGCTGAGCATGGAGGCCAAGTTGTTGCAAAATCCTCACATGGGGTGTGTGTTAGGCCATATAGTGAGCTCAAGTAGCTAGTAATACGAGGTAGTTAGTAAGCTTAAGCAGCTACCACCCAGGATGCAGCAGAGCCCTGACACTATTCATTTGGTTCTTAGTATTTTTCTTTCTGAAACTAACTTATACTGCTTGCGTTGAAGATTAAGACTTGAGGCAAGTTGAGGGTTCTCAGATCACTTCATGCAAGGCTTAAGGCCTCCTGAAACCGGGCGAACTTGCGGCCTTCATTTGCCTCTCAACCCAGTGACAAGCATGCTTGTTGATTCATCAGGTGGAGATATGGCGTCTTCGCACCACCACATCGACCGGTTCGACCAGCGAGAACGGACGGGCCAGCAGGTCGGGCCGGGCTTCGGGTTTGGACCAACAGCCTGACGGCCATATGGGATAGTGCGGGAAACTACTGGCCTCCTTGCTTACCCTCAAGAATCAAATCTATAGGGTAAGCGAAGGGTGTGTAGCTCAACATCGCCCCCTCCCGATAGGAAACCCGTTCGGTTGGGAACATCGGACAGCCTACCCAGCCATCGGTCAATGAGCCTCCCTATATACAAACACAACCACATAAGCTGTGCATTTTGATGCTCCATGCGGAAGAAAAGGCATCCCCAGCTGTGATGTTTGGCAGCTATCTATCGCCACCGGTGGCTGCGTAATTAATTGAACTAGTTCATGCGAATCAAACAGGACCTGCAGCACCTCTGTTTAATTAAATGAAACCCGTGTTCAGGATGCCCCTGATGCAACTCATTTTGAACAACTCATTTTGGAGCAGATTCAATGGTCAGACGTCAACCGATCGTTGCACAACCTAGAGTGACTAGGCGCCTCCATCCCTGATCTGTTCGGGCTGCCTTCTGAGTGTGGGAGATTGATTTCCAGGTCGCTCTCAGAACCACTTGCGAATGTCCATCGATTTTCAGGTGGCTTAAAAACCCTTCCAAGGGCCATGAATTTCCCTTCCAAGGGCCATGCTGAGGCGCTCTCCAAGCAAGCGACAAGCGACCCTGCACACACTGAGCCGCTCTTGTGCAAAACAAGGCGACGCAAGCGACGCATGTCTTCAACTCTCTTGAAACTTCCTGGCCAAATTGGAGCTGAGTCTCAAGCTGCTTGCGTGCAACACAGGCGCCCAGCCCCCACCACCAAGCGGTGTAGCCATGTGCGAAGCAAGAGAAACCGGTGGCGGCAATGAACTCAGCGGACCATATGTAGCACACCAACACCGTGGTGATGGAGCTCACGGTGAACATGGCGACCTAGGGAAATAAAGAACGTCGGCCGTCGCAGGTGTGGTTGAACTGGTTGAAGACAAGTGGGTGAAATGAACATTGGATGGTCTAGGTATCCATATGATTGAGTTTGTTGGAACAACATTGATTACATGTATTCTCGTGCCTCAGTTCCCAACTAATTTGCAAACAACTGGTTCTTCAAAAGTGACCTCTTTGCGGATCTTCAAGTTTAAGTCGCCTTTTCTGTCGTTTTGTGCGGTTCAAATGGTCTGTGATCTTTGTTGGGCCCTCAACAGCCAAGCGGGCCGGCAGCCACAAGACACATGGGGGAACAACGGGGCTCCCGCAACCGGCCACGAAAGACCGGATGTAATCGAGGCTCAGTCAGGGAAGGTCTCTTTACAAAGAGACTATCTGTTTCTCATCTTCTCATCTTCTCATCAGGGAGAGACCCAAAGACCCTGTCATGGTCCGTTTACAAAGAGACCCAAAGATGTCCATGTTGGGTCCGCGGACATCTTCTCATCTTCTCCCAACATGAGATCGCGGAGACCTGGGTCCAAATGTTGAGCAAAAGGTAGGATTGGTCGTCGACGGGACGTCTGTGGTCGAGCAAGGTCCCCCAGCACCATGACCATTCACTGATCCTTTGGGCCCATTGACCCACAGCACCACATGAATCCTTGCCAAAGGGTATCCCTTCATATGATCTATAGGGCCTACCTTTTCACCAACAACCCTTTGATTGACCTCCCGTCTTTTTTTGACCAGCCCAGTCTTTTGTGACGCCCGTGAGTTCTTCCCACTTTCTTGACACCCCAGCATTCATTTTTGATACCCCAGCCTTTTTCTCTTAAACTTTGTAGTCACACTAGGGGTTCTTGCGGTCTTGGTTATTGAGGTGCTCGCTGGGGTGTTTGGACATTTGGACAAATCTGGTCGCGCGAGACGGTGCTGTTCTTGACTACGTTCTTGTGCGGTGGATCTGGCCGTGTGACAATCCACCAAAGCCGCCAGCAGCTGCATGGATACCTTGGATCAGAATGGATGAGATCGTTTTTTCATGAGGGGACCTAGTTCACTACCTAACAGTTCCACAAGGCGGCAAAGCAGTCAGACCAAACTCTCAGGTTTTAAGAGATACCACCAGGAGTTTCATGAGGTTGTTCTTGGAAACATCAAACTCGCATCATGATGCCTCTTCGGCT